GGCTACGCGCCCAACCCCCCCCGCAGAGGAAAGACAGTCGTCGACAGCACACATATATATATATATATATATATATGTGTGTGTGTATATGTTCATACATACGTGCATGCTCAGCCCCCCCCCCCCAGTGGCCCCGCCCCCGCCGGGCGCCGCCGCGGCTCGGCAGCGCTTCTCGCCGCCGAGGGCGAAGTGCACCGCGGCGCCATCGAACGGCGCCTTCAATAGCAGCGCCGGCAACAAAGACGCCGCGCACCTCGGCCCTGAGCCGACGCCGGAAAGTCGCACTCACCACAATCGTTGCCGCCGCATCCTCGCCACCCCGCATCGCATTCCCCATCGTCATCTGCATACTTATGAGGACCAGGATGAGGAGGGCGATGACGAGGAGGGGGACGAGGAGGAGGACGATGACGAGGGGGAGGAGGCGCATGCGGAGGAGCACAATGAGGACACGGGTAAGATGATGGAGAGGATGATGAGGAGGTGCAGGATGAGGATGATGATGATGAGACGGATGATGATGACGATGACGATGACGATGGTGACGATGACGATGATGATGAAGACGATGGTGATGATGATGGCGATGATGGTGGTGATGGTGGCGATAACGATGGCGACGACGACGACAACGATGATGATGCTGACGTGGATGTCGAGGATGGCGATGCTGCTGGTGATGGTGCCCCTCTCTCCCGCTCTCCCATGATGATGATTATGACGATGATGGTGATGATGATGATGGCGACGATGACGACGATGACGACGACGATGGCAATGGCGACGGCGACGATGGCGGCGGCGATGATGACGATGATGATGATGATGATGATGATGACGAGGTCCTCATCCTCATCTCCGTATCTTCACATGTTATCTCTCCTCCCCCTCCTGCTCCTCATCCTCTGCTTCTCCCGCGGGGAAGCGCAGCCTCGGGCTGGGGGCGTCGGTCGGGGCGCCACCGCCGGCCATTGCGGGAATGAGTTTCGCCCCGCATGGAGAGGAGGGGGCGGGGGAAGGCGGGCGATGCGAGGAGGGCAGGGAGGAGGGCGAGGAGGGGGGGGGGGGGAAGGGGGCGCGGACGAGGAGGAGGGGGGGGGGCGGGGCGAGGAGGAGCATGAGGAGGAGACGGGGGGCAGATGCTGCAACGCGTCGTGAACCGCTATCTGCGCGCGCGTTTGTCGCCCCCGCCATTCTGCGTCGTTCCCCCCGCTCTTCTGCCCTGCCCCCCCCCCCCTTCCTATTCAACCGACTCTTCTTCTTAGTCTCTCTTGCTCTGCCTGCCTAGTGCCCCCTGCCCTCTACCGCTCGTTCCCTTCATTTTCCCCGCCGCTCAGCCCCAGGTGATAGTCGATGTCGAAAGCGGTTTGGCTCAAGACGCCGCGAAACGGCAAGGCTCTCAAGCCCCGGGGCAGGGGCAAGGGAATACCCATCAAAAACACGGCGCCCTCACAAACGAGACGCAGCGGACCTGCAACCAGAAGCGCAACGAACGCCGCAAAGACGCTCGCTCGGACAAGAAGCGCAAGGATGTGTTTCTACAGTTCTACTCCGCGTTCGAGACGGGGCTCAAGGTCGAGGCCTCGCGGCGCCAGAGAGCAACGACGGGACGCAATGGCTCCGCCCGCAACGGCGCGCCCCGCCCCCCCGCCCCCACCCCGCGCTCAGGCACGCGGAAACCGCGATTGATACGCGTATCCACTGTGCCCCCGCAGGCGCGGGATTGGGCTGGGAAGAACAAGGGCCTCAAGTCCCTGAACGTCTCCCCGCGGAAGGCCGAAACAGCGAAACGCTGGGGGAACGCCAAGCTGCGCGAGGCCACGGGGCTAAAAGCTCAGCAACGCGCCCCTTCTCACCGCGCTGTTACGGTTCGGCGAATCGCGCCCCGCGCAAGGGGCCGCCCCGCGGCGCCGCGTTGGCCCGCGGGGAGCGGCGGCGCACGGCGCCTTTTGCAGACACCTCAACATGACAGCATGACGGGGGGTTGTCGGGCGCGCTGCTGGTCTTGTTGCCGACGGCAGGAGAGGGGCCCGGGGCGCGAAAGCCGCGCCCGCGAGCGGACGCCGAATGCAATGGGCGCGCGCCGCGAGACAAAGCAGCGCAGGCACCTGGCAAAAGCCAACCAGGAGCTGGAGAGGGAGACGAAGGTCTTGCATAAGGCCTTGGAGAGCGAGCAGAAGGACAGGAAGAAACAGGTGTCGGGGCAGAAAAAAAAAAGCACGCCGCACTCCCCGCCCAGCCAGAGGCGGGCGACGCCTCCCCACCCCCCGCAGCGACCCCGGAAGGTGAACCGCCTCCTCCGCCAGCTGCGCTGGCGGAAGACGCGCGACGCTGCCGAGGGGGCCAGCGCTGCCCGACTGGCACTGGGGCCAGCCGCCGAGCGCCTGCCAGGCGGAGAAAAAAAGAGCGGCGCGGACGGGCGAGAGAGCGGGGCAGGGGCAGGGGGCAGGAGAGAGGCAGAGGAATAAGGATGAGGATGTTCAGTCGCGGGCTCAAGGGGGGAAAAACAAGGGAACCCAAAACATGAATTCCCACCTTCGCCTCTTGAAAACGCGTTTCAGTTGCGCGCGGTTAACGACGCAGCCAGAAATGAGCGTGGAAAAGAAGTATGCCGCAAACCATGCCGCATAATGTTTGAAACGTTGCCAAAGCAATTATGATCTTGACGGCGCTGCTGCTGGTGCTGTCGCTCGTGGCGGTGTTGTTGGCGGTGCTTCTGCTGGCGCTGTCGGTGCTGATGGTGCTGCTTGTGGTCCTGGCGGCGATGCTGCTGGTGCCGTTGCGGATGACGGTGCCGCTGCTGGTGCGTCTGGCGCTGACGGCGACGCCCATGTTACAAAGCAGCCAGAACAGCGACGAAGCGCAAGAACAGCGCGCCAGCGGCGGCATGCAGAAACCACAGAGCCCCCCTGCAGGAATGAGGGCACGATGCCCGTGCAGCCACAGGAAAACACAGAGAGCGAGAGAGAGAGAGAGAGAAAACACACTATATACATATATTTATATGTGTAGAGAGAGAGAGAGAGAGAGAGAGAGAGAGAGAGAGAACTGCTGATGCTTCTGCTGGTGCCTCCCGTTGCCGCCAGCGCTCAGGCCTCCACAGGGTGCTCAGACCCCCTGGGGGGTTCTCCGCGGTGGGCTTCGACTCACGGCTCTCGAATGCGCCTTCGCGCCGCGCGCCATGCCTGGCCGCGCTGGCCACGTCTTGCCGCCAGGCGCGGCGTGGCGCAGGGCGGGGCGCGCGCAAGCTCAACGCGCGGCTGCTGGGGAGGATTCGAGGGCGAGGGGTAATTCAGTTCTTGGAAGGCGCCTCCCCCGCAACCGACCATCTCCTGATTTCGGCAATGAGGAAGCACGTTTGCTTTTGCCGCAGGATCCGTTCAACGCGCGCGTGTGGCCCGCGAACATTGAAGCGCGGGACAGCGGCAACCTTTTCTTTGCTCCTGGCTCCCAGAGCAATTTGTGGGAGTCGAACGATCTCGCTTTCGATTGTGTTATCGTCCGCCCGTGCATGTACGCCGAGGTTGTGGCCACTTGCGTCGGCCACGACGATCGCGCGCTCGCCTCGCCAGCCGCGATCGCGAGATATTGCCCCGTCTGCGATCTGCCCCATCGGTCTGATGCGGGCAGTTGCAGATCGACGATGCTCGTTGCGATCGGCCCGATCGATCTGCCGCGGATAGTGGCTGGCAGATCTGCGATGCGCGATGTCGCCCTGCAGTGAGCACTGAGGGCCGCACGTGCATTGTGACTTTCACGCATGCGGCGGAGGTGCCGTGGTCGACAACATGGGGGTTCATGGAGAGGATGGTGATAGCGTCGCTTTCGTTGCCCCGCCACCGCGATGTGCTGTTCGATGCCGACGGCGACCAGCCCTCCAGCCGAACGCACGCGGGCCCGTGGTTCGGCCTGCGCGCGCCGGCGCGCCGCCGTCTCTGAGGCGCGGGCGGGGTGCGAGGGCATGGCGTTTGCCCCGCACATTTTTATGTTGGTTATGTGATGAAAGCTTGCAGAGCACGTGCTCGGAGCTCGGCAGGGAAATTTGCGATGTTAAGGCGATCGTGAATGTATTTCTCCTGGCGGGCACTCTTCTCGCCCTGCTTGCGATCGCCCCGAATGCCGCCCCCTTCCCACCCCTCTCGCTCCCCCCCCCGCCAGTAATGCCGCGCGCGTTCAGGCTCAAACATCAGTCGCCTCGCTCGCTCGCCACCTCGCGCACCTCCGCGCCGTCCGCGATGCCGAGGGCATGTCCGATGGAGGCCGCCAACCTGCCCGCCGGCGGCGCGAAGTCCATCGGGGTGTCCATGGGAAAACAGGGGCACACCAACGACGTGATGGTAGCTGCCTGAAGCAAGGCGGAGACAATGCCCGTTCTCGAGGTTCTAGCGAAGCCCGACGTGGTGGGGGGGCGTTGTCAAGACTGGCACCGCCATCGTCTGGGACCTCCCCATCAAGCAGTGAAGCTTTTCCGCACGGCGCCCCATTAACGGCTTCATCGACGTCGTCGCGAACTGCGGTGACCTCTCGGGCGTCGACTGGGAGGTTGCCATAGAGGCCATGGCCGAGGGTCGGTGCAACGCCTTGCCCCCGCCACTGGGAATGTCCGATGCTGGCCAGAACGATATCCCCTGCGCGATGAGCATGCACGTGTCCAAGTCCATGCCTGACGATGGCTACTTGGTGGTGAAGGTGTTCGCGTTCCTCGGCGGCGGGGAGCCGATGGCGGCCATCCACGAGAAGATCGTCGAGGGCGACCCGTGCGTTCTGGACTACCGCCCCGACACCTTGAACACTGTGCGGACGACGCAGGTGGTCTTGGAGGCGATGGGCAGATTGTTGTTCCGCTACTGGGGGGTGCCGAAGCCAAAGGCTGCTGCGGAGATCGACGCTGGCGATGTCGCGGAGAAGAAGGCCGCATCGACAGAGCGTGGGACGTCGCGCAGGCAGAGGCCCCCCGCGGAAATTTCGACGGCCACAGGGTCTTGTGGTTGGAGCGCCAGCGCATGGATCCGAACTCCCCCATGAACCACATGAAACGGGAGTTCGTGAACAGCCTGCTGAAGTACATCGCGGAACGCGACCACTTCGCGACCAGGGAGGACTACTGCCCGCTCATAAAGCCAGACATCCGCAGGAAGTACCAGCCGATGATGCACAGGATATTGAAGACGTTAACGGGCAACGCGCCGCTTACGATCGAGGAGGCTGGCTCAGGGAAGACGCCCTTCATGCGCATCCTTGCCATGACGACTGCGAGGCACAATGCAGACGTCGCTGATGAACGCCACCCAGGTCGTGTCAAGGCTGCCGTTCGGGCGTCCGCAGAGTTGGACTACTTCCGCGGGGAGGTCGGGGAGCCCTGGGCGCCCTGCGTCTTCGATGACGGCGGCCTCGCAGATCAGCGGCCTCGCGCCCTCAAGGCCGTCTTTGGCCCCGCGCAGGCTGAGGCGATGACCCGCGCGCGCAGGAGGGCCACGAAGTTCGCGCGCGGCCAAGCGAGGCGGCTGGCGAAGTCGAAGCGTCGGAGCCAGCCAGGTTTCCTAGGTTCGGCTGCCAGGTTTTGTTTGAATTTCCCAGGGAGGCGAATCCAGGGCGCCGGTCGGCCCCGCGCTTCGTCTTTGCCCAGGCTTGGCAGGGGCAACGAATGCAATTCGAGCGCTGAACCAAGCGGCGAGGAGTGGGGGTTCGCGGCGACGTCGCCCGATGCTGCGCAGCGGACCGCTGCCATCTTGTCGGGCATGTTTCGGCCCGCCTTCCCAATGGGCATGTCCGAGCGCGACTTCGGGGCCATGCTCGAGCGGTGCGTCGTCGCCCAAAAAACAAAGCGCCCGTTCTTCTTCAGGCCCGCTGGCAAGGGCTCGGTCGTTGAGAAGTTGCCCCTCGCGAGCAGCTACATCGCGGCCGATGCCGGCAAGATCTCGACGCGGCCCCTCAATCACAAGAAGCGCCGCGACCAGGGGGAGCACGACAGGCCCCTCGCCTTCGAGAAGGAAGAAACTTTCAAACTCATGGCCGAGGCGCGCGACGCAGCGGGCGCGCGCGGCGACGGCGGGGATGGCGCCGCCGCCGCCACGGGAGGCAGGCCAGTCGGGCGACGTCGGCGCCGCGCCCGAGGGCGACGACTTGGTCGGCCGCCGCGGCGGCGCCGACGCAGGGGCCGACGTCGCGGAGGAGGAGGGCGCGTTTGACTTCGGCGGCGGCATGGGCGCGACCGAGTCGGCGCCGCCCAAATGGCCAACGGCGGCGCGGAACGTCCGCGTGGACCAGCTTATCGAGCGCCCGGCGGCGACGCCGAGCAGCCCAGTGGCGGCGCGGCCGAGCAGCCTGATGGCGACGTCGACTTCGGCGCGGCGCGCCCCAAAAGTCCTGGGCGGCAGCGCCTCTCTCTGGCGCGATGGGGGCAGCCAGCGGCCAATGCTGCCCCGCTGCTATGAACTGTCCGCGACCGCGCACGACATGCCTCCCAGTGCTGTGCCCCGATCGCACTCGTGTCCGCAGTGCGTCGTCGTCTGTCCTACCCCATGCGCCCCTGCGCCCCAGTTCCATATCCCGTCGCCGCTAGCGCTCGGGCTCCACGGGGTGCTCAGAGATCCCCAGGGCGATCCGAAGTCGGATGCATTCGAACTATTTCAGCGCCGGTTCAAGCGAGAGAAGGCCGCCGAGCCCACCTGCTAGCGCCCGTCGGCTGCCCAGCCGCCGCCCGCCGTACACGTCGGCCACGGGTGAGCCATGGCCGCTCGCCAAGCGCGGAAAGGCCCGCATGGCCATGCGACCCGCGCCCATGAAGAAGGCGAAGAAAGGCCCACTTGTCCGCAAGCCGAAGAACGCCCCTTACACGCGCCACGGGTCTGCGTCAGCCAGGCTACGTCTCGACCGAGCAGTCTGGTCACGGTGCTTGAAGGATTCCGTGAACATCGCGACCAAGCAGGTGATTGACAAATTGAAGAAAGGACAATATACTTCCCGAGTGGAAGGGCGCGAAAGGCCCCAACTGCAACCTCGGCAAGCTTGGCCCCCTGAAGATTTGCAGCAAAAAGTCGGGGGGTGGGCCCGCCAAAACACGCGCAAGTGCTGCCGGCTCCACCTGATGCCGCGCGCCTTCCACCCGATCTGCAAGTGCGGCACGGGGTCGTCAGGGGAACGCTTGGCGGACCAGGCGGCCGCGTTGTTCTGCGCCGTGGCCCAGCGCTCGCAGGCGCCCGTCCGCTCGCCCCCTGCTGAAGAACAACCGCAAGGTGGCAGAGGGCATCTACTCCGCGCTGCGCGCAGCCCGCGCTAAGCACGCGAACGCCCGCGAGAAGCGCATCGTCTTCGGCCAGGACAAGGGCGGCAGCGAGCTCGAGCGGGCGGGCGCGGAGGCGGACGAGGTCGACGCGGCGAAGGGGGGGGGGGGGGGGGGGGGGGGGCGAACGCAGGCCCCCGCTCGCAGAACCCCATCATCTGGGAGCAGCGGGGCTGCGTAGTTCAGCGCAGAAACCCCGGGCCCCTGGCCCTCTTCAGGCCGAAGCCAGAGAAGGAGAAGGCCAAGCGCAGGGCGCCTGGCCCCGGACCGACGCGGAAGAGGGACCGGGCACCCAAGGCGCCCAGGTGGCTGAAGCATCGCCGCGCCATCCTCCACGCGGACGGGGCGAGGCCGCGCTGGTTGAAGATCGACGGCGCCCTGCGCGATTGGGCGGCGCACAAGAAGAAGAAGAGGGCGAGGCTCGGCGGGAAGTGGGCGCGGGCGAAGCCCGCCTTTACAAAGGTTCGCCACCGCAACGTGCCAGACCAGAAAAAGCCTCGCGGGGCGAAGCGCTCGACCGCGCGCGGGGCGAGCTGCGCGGGGCGGTCGGCGAGGGCAGGGCGAAGAAGATGAACTCCGCCATTCCCCGCTGCAAGGTAAGCAAGGGGCGCGGCGCGCAAAGCTTTTTCTGACCTTGGCACCGCCACTCCATTTTTCAGTTTTCAGCGAGGCATGGGGGGCAGCCCCAGGGCGCGGGGCGCGGGCCTTCGGCGAGGTTTGGAGGTGCAGCGCGACAGGCGTCGCTTTCACGCGCTCTCTGGCCCATGCAGCCCCATGCAAGGTGCGTTTATTCCAGTGGGCGCAATGGCACCGCGGCTGCGATTCGCGGCTCGCCACTGGCCAGGTGCTCCGCGAGGCGTGGGGCAGCGACCACGCCCAGTGAGTTGCTCGACGGGCGCTGCTGAGCGCAGCTGGGGCGCGCGGCGAGCACTCCGAGCAAGTCTGGCATATAACGATGACGTGTTATCGGAGCATCAGGGCGCTCTGTTGCACAAATCTTTGAAGAACCATCGGCGCCTGCGAAGCCGCGTAGTACGCTTTCCTGTTAAGTCCGGCTTACAGTGACTCCACGCCAGCGGGCGATCAACCTGCCCGGCCCTGTTTTGAATCGAACCAGATCAGCCGTCGCAGCCGCGTATGCAAATTAGTTGATGGGCAACGCGGCCACCGCCCTCGTCGTGACCCCCGCCCTCGCCCTCGTCGTCGTCGCAACAGAAATCTTCGTCGATCGCCGTCGCGGCCGCCTGTCGCTGCCTCCGCGATGTCTAGCCAATCAAGTCGACTTCACGCGCTTCCATCCCTAGAGGAGGAGGGGCGCTTGCAAGGGGGGGGGGGGCCAGCGCGGCGACGCGACAAGGGCGATGACGAGGGGGGGGGGGGGGGGGGCGAGGGCGATGGCGATGATCAGCGGATGTGCACAGAGGTGGAGCGGGAGGGACGAGGGGAGAAGCAGAAGGAGGAGGGAGAGGAGGAGCAGGAGGAGGACGGAGGATGGGGGGCGGGGAGGAGGAGGAGGAGGGGAGGAAGAGTAAGGACATGATGGGAGGGGAGGAGAAGGAGGAGGAGAGAGCGAGGATGGGGGGTGGGGAGGGAGCAGAAGGGGGGGGGGGGGGGGGAGATGACGAGGGGGTGGGAGGGGGGGGGGGGGGGGGGGGTGGGGAGAGGACGAGGGGGGGGGGGGGGGTGTGGGGGGGGAGGGGGCGGGGGGGGGAAGGGGACAAAGAAGAGCACGCACAACCAAACCATGCTATTCACATGTGTTGTTTTGCATGTTTGGGCCAGGGAAGCAGCGGCATTGTTTTGTTTCTGGTTTTCAGGAGCTCCGCGGGCTTGGCCGGGGAGGGCCGCGGGGGCGCGAGGAGCTTCTGACCCACCCCCCATTAAAAAAAATGCGCATGGCTGCGCTCGCTGGCGCCCCAAACAAATAAAACAAATAGCCGTGCGAAGGGCCCGACCATATGCAGTTGCGAGCGCCGCCTTCGTGCGCAACGCATTCGGCGAGGCCCCCTACGGGGCCGCGAAATGCTGTCCTGGGCGGGGAGACGCATGCCAATGCCCCAACTGGCGCCTTCGGCGGGCCCCCCTATGGGGCCGCGAAACGCTGTCCTGGGCGGGGGTGGCGCATGCGAACACCCCCACTGGCGCTTTCGATGGAGCCCCCTACGGGGCCACGAAACGCTGTCCGGGGCGGGGGGGGGGGCGCGTGCGAACGCTCCACTGGGGCCGTCGGCGGAGGCGGGGCTCCCTACGGGGCCGCGAAACGCTGTCCGGGGCGGGGGGGGCGCATGCGAACGCCCCCGCTGGGGCCGTCGGTGGAGCTCCCTATGGGGCCACGAAGCGCTGTCCTGAGCGGGGGGGGCGCATGCGAACGCCCCCACTGCGGCCTTCGGTGGAGCCCCTTATGGGGCCATGAAACGCTGTCCTGGATGGGTGGAGGCGCAGGCGAACGCCCCAACTGGGGCCTTCGGCGGGGCCCCCTCGGGGCCACGAAGCGCTGTCCTGGACGGGGAAGACGCATGCGAACACCCCCGCTGAGGCCTTCGGTGGAGCTCCCCATTGGGCCACGAAGCGCTGTCCTGGGCGGGGGAGACGCATGCCATAGCTCTCACTGGGGCCTTCGGTGGAGCGCCCCACGGGGCCACGAAACGTTGTCCTGGGTGGTGGTGTGCGTGTGTGCGTGTGTGTGCGTGCGTGTGTGCGTGTGCGTGTGTGTGCGTGTGTGTGCGTGGGGGGGGGGGGGGGGGAGCATGTGTATGTGTATGTGTATGTGTTATGTATGTGTATGTGTATGTGTATGTGTATGTGTATGCGTATGTGTTGTGTATGTGTGCGTGGTGCGTGTGCGTGTGCGTGTGCGTTGCGCGTGCGTGTGCGTGTGCGTGTGCGTGCGCGCGTGCGTGTTGCGTAAGTGCGTGTGCGTGTGCGTGTGTGTGCGTGGTGCGTGTGCGGGTGTCGTGTGCGTGTGCGTGTGCGTGTGCGTGTGCCGCGTGTGTGCGTGTGCCTGTGTGCGTGTTGCTTGCGCGCGTGCGCGTGCGTGTGCGTGCGCGTGTGCGCCGTGCGCGTGCGCGTGCGTGTGCGCGGCGTGTGCGCGTGCGTGTGCGTGGTGCGTGTGCGCGTAGCGGGGGGGGTGTGCGCGTGCGTGTGCGTGTGCCGTGCGCGTCGTGTGCGTGTGCGCGTGCGCGTGCGCGGGCCGTGTGCGCGAGCGTTGCTGTGCGTGTGCGTGTGCGTTGTGCGTGTGGTGTGCGCGTGCGTGTGCGCGTGCGGGTGTTGTGTGTGTGTGTGCGGTGTGCGTGTGCGTGTGACGTGTGCGTGTGCGGGGGGTGTGCGTGTGCGTGTGACGTGTGGGCGTGTGCGTGTGCGTGTGCGTGTTGCGTGTGCGTGCGCGTGTGCGTGTCGTGATGCGCGCCGTGTGGTGCGTGTGTGCGTGTGCGTTGCGCGTGCGTGTGCGTGTGCTTGTGCGTGTGGCGCGTGCGTGTGCGTGTGCGCGTGCGTGCCCGTGCGCCGGGCCGTGCGCGCGCAGCGTGCGCGTGCGCGCGCGCAGGGGGTGGGGGGGGGGCAGGGGGGGGGGGGGTGCGCGTGCGAACGCCCCCACTGGGGCTCTCGGTGGAGCTCCCCATTGGGCCACGAAGCGCTGTCCTGGGCGGGGAAGACGCACGGGAACGCCCCCACTGCTGCCTTCGGTGGAGCCCCCCATGGGGCCACGAAGCGCCGTCCTGGGCCGGGGAGACGCATGCGAAGACCCCCGCTGGAGCTTTCGGTGGAGCCCCCTACGGGGCCACGAAGCGGCGCCTTGGGCGGGGGGCGGGGGGGGGCGCATGCGAACGCTCCCGCTGGGGCTGTCGGTGGAGCGAGCTCCCTATGGGGCCGCGAAACGCTGTCCTGGGCGGGGGGGGGCGCGCATGCGAACGCCCCCACGGGGGCCTTCTGTGGAACTCGCCCCGGGGCCACGAAGCGCCGTCCTGGGCGGGG